CCTATTTTATCGCCCGAACTGCTATTGTGCACTGTGCCTTGAATCGTAAAATGTTTGGCCATTATTTCATAGCAAATTCCAGCATCGCCTTGATGACTGCATTATACGTACGAGGCACCAACGAAAGAGCTCGCCAATACCGTCGTAATATCGTGCGATACTGCCAGCTCACTCAGGTACTTCACGGGTCTGTACAAATATAGAAAAAGTTCTGTGTAGTGCTATAGAATTCCGAATAACAGCGTCTTGTAGTAGCAAATAAAGGAAATGGAAATGTTTGCTGGATGAAATATGGCATATCTGTCTTTTTTAGGTCCTTGTTTTCCGTGATTTGTCAATGAAATGTCGTAAGCGTTTCCCGACGCTCGATACCGTTGCTGCAGCAGGTTTGTCAAATTATAAGGCATTTTTCGGCTATGAAGATTTGTTGGAGACCGCCGGCTCCAATAAATCTTCATAGCCATATATTCTTCCGACCAATGCTATAAATATACTCGAGTAATAAAGAAAGGAGGAAAATTAAAGAAGGCATGAAAATGATGAGCTCTGATGGAAAAAAGTGATAGATAGCGGTTCAGGGTTTATGATGCCACATGAGAAAGAGAACTTCGACGGAATACAGTACAACTATAACAAGTACTTTTTACCGTTCAATTGGGCATGGGCCTTGATTTATCGAGCGAGAAAGGAGGGACTAATTGAGAGCGACTACTATGTCACTATACTTTCCGAGGTTTGTTCTTCTTTTCTCATCTTTCCCAAAGTAGGATTGAAGCTTAAAGACACGTGGTACGATCACACATCGTTTGGGTGTGCGTGACTATCAGCCTCGCAGCTGTGGAAGGAGGGCTGCGTTTATACTTGCGGCAGCGTAGCGTAGCGCTTCCAGCGTACGCCAGCGGCAGTGCCGAGGAGAGGATGCATATCGATCTAGCTTCACCAGCGGCACGCTGCGTACGCTGGAAGCGCTACCGCCTGCGCAACCAGTATTAAAACGCAGCAGCTAATCTGAGGTGCGTGACTATCAGCCCCCGCAGCTAGTCGAAGTCAGCCGGTTTCCCACATGCGCCACAGATGGAGATACAGCACCGTGATACCAGCCCGCTAATTTCTTCCATGCTCACGTCCTAAGTACTCTTTGCGGCGTCAGCACTCCCGTTTATTGCTAACAGCCCGTCCGCGCGTCGCGGCTCTTGGCACTTTGCCTAGTTCTGTAATTGCGCTTTGCGATTACATGCAAAAACGGCAATTTCCCTTGATGCAGATAATATTGACCAATGAGCGCGGGCGCTCAGCACGCGCGCTGCGGTACGGACTGATTAGTAATAAAACGTCGAGTCTGCGCCCGCCATTAAGGGTACTTTGAGCAGAGCTATGATGGAGGAATCAGCGTGTTTCACGGTCCTGCATCTCCATTCCTGCTGCATGTTAGGACGGGAAACCGCTACGCTTCGACAGCTGGGGGGCTGATAGTCACGCACACCCAAACTATGTGTGATCGTACCATGTGTCTTTAACGTCTGCGTTGATTACCTTGACAGTTTGATTAGCGTGGGTTATTGTATGGAGCTAAAACACGTCTGATCACTTCAGTGGTCCTGATGCAGAAGCTACGGCCGGCTCAACCTGTTTGGTTGGCAGGCCGCTGAAGCTCATAAAGCAATCGGAGCTCCCTGCCACAAGAACCTCTTTAAGAATTTTTCAGGAAGTGAAAAAGTTTCGTACTGACTTGGCATGGTTGTGTAATTATGACTGGGTACCGTTGCCGATGATTTATCCGACAATTGTCTGTCTAGCCGTACACACCTACTTTTTGGTAGGAGTAATCGCTAGACAATATGTCGAAGGTTCAGTTTACGAAAGCGATATGGTGAGTGATTACTGGTAATTCTGCCATACTTATGATTACTTTTCAACTCACTGGTTTGTAGTGAACGCGATATTAATATCGTCAAGTTAAAGTCACATTTCTTGAGAATCCTAGGCACTGGGGCCCAGAAAGAACTGTTTGTGTTAACTGGTTTACTATAAGGATGAGAACAGAAAAATATAAAGTGACCCGAATAAGGTCCTCTTTCTTGCAGTCGAAGGCATTGATGCAGCTGAAAAACGTTGAGGCCCACATCAGAAAAAATAACTGCGCAATACGAAGCTACGCGGCATTATCACGGTGACAAGGGCCTCGTGAGCCTTAGGTCGTCGAGAAGGCTAAGTCTGCGCCTTTCGTGCGCAGTTTTAAGTCGCGATTAGGGCATCCCTTAAGGCAGCGTTCAGACTTCGCGACGGCAGCGCTTCGGTCGCGCATTCGACGCGATCGATGCAGTCGAAAGCATGCGCATCGATCGCGTTGAACGCGCGACCGAAGCGCTGCAGTCGCGAAGTCTGAACGCTGCCTTAGTGGTTGTGAACGCACGCTAACCGAAAGCGGATTGAACATTTCGCTGATTTCGGAATGTCCAATCCCCACCCTCCCCCCTCAAGTAGATATAGTTAAGTTGGGTGGATCATCTCATGGATAACCCAGCTACAGCATATCCTCCCAAACTACTTTTGTTTTTTCTTTCTTGAAAGCCCCGGAGGCTTCATACATCGGATTTTGTGAGATGCGCAGTGTGTGGTGGCCAGGCCCGTAGGCGCCGTTTTCATCGTTTTAAATGGAGGGGAAGTGTGGGCTGTGATAGCCTGCTACCGTTTCGGACTTCACAAGGTGCTGCATGTGCGTCGATGCTGAGGTCTCGCAGCGAATAGCATCAACGACAAGCTCCAGACGTGCTCTCGCTGCGAGGGTCCAGGGGTATTTTCTCGAGGCATCTACCAGTCCAGTAGTTGAAGGGAGAAGGTAAAGGAGGAGGGATCAGAGAAGGAAAGAAGGAAGGAGGAAGAAAAAAGGAAAGAGAGAGGTTTGCGGTTGACAAGTGCCCTGGACGGTTGTGCGGCACTTTGCGTCTCCTGATTTGCTTGCGGGTTGACTACGAAAGGGACTCTAATAGTCACTACCCCCAGGCCTCAGTTTGGCACATTTTTGTGTGATGAAAAATGGAACTGGCGCACTTCTACAGCTGTGGACCCATTCACCTGCACATGGCAATGATCGAAATTATCAAACGTGAGCGTAGAGCGTATCGTCCAACATCGGAGGAACCACCCTTAAAACGCCCAAGATGGCAGCACGACTTAGTTCAGAGCCTTGTGGCCTTCACTGGAACTTCCAGCCACTGAATTATCATTTTCCATTACCTCTAACATCAGTCATTTTCTCGGTAACCTACCAACACTTGGTTTCAGATAGATATGGTCTTTCCATTCATGACCAGCATTCAATTTGTGCTCTATATGGGATGGTTGAAGGTTTGTTGATCTTTTATTGAAATCAGTGCTACTCAAGTGAGGGTTGAGGTGGGCAACGCGTGGCTTCACTACTTGGGCTCCCAACAGCAGGGCATATACAATTACAATTTCGTCCCTGATTCCCTAGTGTTGATTTTCTTTTGTGAGTAATGTTGGTTCTTGGGGCGAAGTATTTCGATAATGTGCTTTCGACTTTCAGGATCCAAAGAAGACGATTTTCACCGAAACGTCAGTCTAATAAAACGTCTTCAACAACGCTCGAAGGCTCAGAGATCAAGTAACAACAGCAGGGCACATCGTTGTTGGGGAATCCCCAATAGGGGGGTCCTATTCGGCCGCCAGGAGAGGGAGGTCGTATTTGGGCTGAGAATGAGGAGGAACAGAGGCGCCGGAGGAGGGGGGTCGTACCAAACCCCCAAAAAAGGGGGAGGGGTCGTACAGACTCGACTAACATCCCTAACCAATGATGTGCCCTGCCCATCAGCCTCAGAGTGTGCCAAACGACCGGGGTAGCGCGCTTTCTAGTCTCATGCTCCACTCCCAACTTC